CATTAGGCCCCGTCCACTCGTATCCAAGCCTGCGAGAGCAGACACCTTTTTCAGCTCTTTAAAAAAGCATCTTTCGTGGAATTAGTCCTTCCGTCTACAGATAAACTCATGTCAGAATATAAACTCTCACTAAAACGCAACGGCTTGAAAATCGCTCTCCAGAGAGGGAAATTAGCATCGTCTTCAAGTTCAGTTTCATCTTCAGGCTCTACTACAACCTCACCTTTAGCGGCTTTCATAGGTAACACTGTCTTGACCACTTCTTCCTCTTCGCCAGCATTCCAAAACATTCCAGCGTCAGCTGTTTGTTCCAACGAAAGCATCCTCATTCCTACTTGCAGAACATAAGAAGCAATGATGATAAGACAAATCAGGATAAACCTGAAGGTGTCTGTATATCTACGGATACAGTATACCAGAAAGCTTTTTACGCCGACAAAAAAATCTATTCTGTTTTATTAAAAGCCGAATTCGACATCAATGGAACAAATGGCCTGCGTGCCGGCAGACGTGTCCTATTTCCTTTAATGCACGCGGAAAAGTAATGCAGCGTGCACACTTGTAGTCTGCTACACAGCCGTTTTTAGTGTCGTCACGCAACGCTCCTCCCCACTAACGGCTGCTGAAAACCGACCTACATTCCTTTCCCTTTGTGTTTGTGGTCTAACGAACAAACCAATCATGTACAAGAAATTTGACAATACGTGAGCCGCAGGAAGCGAGGAAGCGAGGAAGCGAGCACGCTTCTCAGTTTTCGACAAATCAATCAATCGTCGCTGAATTTAGACGGGCTCTGTGTTTTCAAGCAACGAAAAGGTTAATTTGAAAAAAAGTTTGTTTTAAGCGGTCAAGAAAGTTCCAAGTGAAAAAAAGGTTTGATAGGCCTAGAAAACTTTTACCAGGATCGGTTGGTTCTTCATTTAACGTGCATATGTGCTGATATGTAGTGAAGAATTTAATGTACCGGATGTGCTCATTGTGTTCTGTGAAGACTAAACTCTCAAGTGTACTGATTCAAAAAGCAGTCTTATAAATTATCTATGAGCGATTTCCCGAAACTATACCTGGCAACTTTATGAGCACATCCATGTTGTGAATCGCAATTTGCCCGACTTGCTTGCTGTTGCTGCTCATCTCCTAAATTTTGAATACGACTCGACTACGACAACGCTGTGGTTAATTGCTTGTTTTCACGCGACGATTTTGATTATTATGTCATTCACACATGGGGCAACGATAAAAGCAAAGCTGTGATTGGAGGAGTCTCAGTACCGCAAAGGTGGCGCGAACACTTTCCAGAAAATGGGAGCTGAATTATAATTGGCTAATCAAGGGAAAGGAATGTAGTTCGGTTTTCAGCAGCCGTTAGTGGGGAGGAGCGTTGCGTGACGACACTAAAAACGGCTGTGTAGCAGACTAGCACACTTGGTGCCCAAGTACGGTACTCGCTGGGCACTAATGTGAACACACTCTTTTTTCAAGAGTACCCACGCTAGAATTCGGACACGGTACCGGTGCCAGAGTACAAGGTCGACAACTTGTACTCGGGCACAAAAGTGGACACCGGGTCCCTGTGTGCACACAGTAGTTACTAGTTCTGTGACAGTCCACCGCTTTGTAATCGTTGCAAAGCTCACGTTTTTAATGGCGTCTGACAAGGAGAAATGGAGTAACTATGTTCACAGTTGCATATCGGGTACTCACGGTACCCATGCCGTGGTTCCTGGCGGGGCACCAAGTTTGGACAGCCCCTCTGAGAAATGAAACAGAACGTTCGAATATCACCTTAAATGGTACAAATTTTGCTTGATCGGAATACTTTGGGTTTTTCGCTCTCGATACCTTTTAACGATTTCAAATGATATCAAGCGGAAAAATGGAAGCTTTGAAAAACTTCACTGAACATTGGCAAATACTTTTTCTCTCTAACGACTTAAATAACTGGGTCCAAGGGGGGTACTCCGGATTTCATTTGACGGGGATGATCGTAGGAGCTTTTTGGGTTTGAAATTTTCGATTCTGGTATTTTTTTGTTAGGAAAATCTTGATTTACGTGGGGATTTTTTTTGCGTATTCGAAACAATCTGAAGTTGTCATTCTGCATAAAGTTAGTGATGAAACAGAAGATGTTCTTGGGTGTCTCGAGTGTTGATGGCGAGAAGGCTTTCGTTGATATTCGGCATGGGATTTTTTCGGGGGGGTAATTTTTGTGCAGGGATTTTTTGCGTTTTGTTAGAAACCCAACGGATTTTTTTTCAGGGAGGGAAGGTTGATTTTTGTCCGCATTCGAGCATCTCTGTAACTTGAAATCCGGAGGTCCCCCTCCCCCTTAGACCAGGGTGCCACAGAAGAAGTCACTGAGAAGTTGTTACATTCAAAATAACTCAGCTTGTATCTGCTCACGTAAGGTGGTAATTAGACATTCATACGGTACGTCAGCCCGAAATTAGGAGTGGCTTTCATATGACGTTAAGAATTCCGCAAATCTCGTAGGTTGTTATCCATCTAAAATCCTCCTCGATCTGCAAAATTCTTCATATCATACTCAACCTCTTTCAATAATCAGGAGCACCCAATGATTGTTTTCTGTAAAATATTTGTTTGGAGAAGCAAAAATTACCTAAAATTTTTTATAGCTTGAGGAAGGCTAAAAATTTCTTCACTCCATTCACTTACAATTTTCGAAGCGGCTTATACCTAATAAATTCCCTAAAATTTTGTAAAGTTTAATTTTGCGCATTTCACCCCTCAGGTTAAGATATTTTTCGTAGAAAAAGGGATCGAACCGAAAATTTTCGGATTCGAACATATGATGGAGAGAGGAATTAGACAAATTCTTACTTTCGTAAAACTTAAAATTACATCTGAAATAATACTGAAGCCCTCGAATTTCGAAAAGACTTAAGTTGCCCTAGGATGACCGAACAGATTCAAATTCTGTAGCGCCGATTGGAATTTATTTCTAAAGATCAAAGAGTACTCTGGATAGCCTAGAAAGTGTGTTCAATGTATGTAGGAGGAAACCGTCGTTGGGTGCCACTGAGTAATTACTAAGTAGCCCATTCGAAGAAGTCTCTTTTGCTGGAAAACATATCAGATCACGCTAAGTTATCTGGGGACAGTTATGTCGGTAAATTAACCGCTAACCACTCGAGACCTGCTTTTGAAAACCAATAATCGTTGTTCCGCTACTCGATAACAGACTGTAAAACTTAAAAAAATACAAGCTATTAAAAAGCTCTCACTTAACAACGCCCCAGTGAAATTAAAAGAAAATCAACGGCGAAAAGTAACTGTAAAAAAGTACTATTTTTCTCAAGTGCACGTTTCAATTTGCTTGCAATACTAAAAGGTATCGGGTAAAATATTTACATCTTGTTACAGCTTTGATCGAAAAAAACTTTGTTCAGAAATTAGAGAAATAATGTTTTTCCCTTCCTCTTGTAAACTGGGCAATAAACAGAGGTCATCAGTAGACAGAGGGGGGGGAGGGGGGGCGGGGGGGGGGCGGGGAGAATGTAGGAAAACTCATAACGTTTTTGTTGAGAAAAAGAATGACATTTCCTTATTAAGTAAAAATGATTTTTGTTTCATGTATTCATTTCAAATATTTACTTAGATGAACAAAACTATTTTCAAGGAGTGTCCCAAAAAATTAAATTTCGGACGTTCCTCACTTATGCTCCGCGTAGTGAGAAATAACAAAAGTACCATTCTAGTGACTCAACGACAACTTCACCTTTAATAAACGTACCGGTCATTCCTTTTATCTTCGTCTCAAGAAAATGTTTTGCATCAGAAGTCAAAGGATTACCACTCACAGTCAGCCTCCTCAGCTCCTTTAAGTCACCAATCTCAGAAGGCAGTTCTGTAAGTTTGTTACCAGACAAGTGCAGCTCCTCAAGCTGGTTCAGCTTCTGTATACTGGTAGGTAAACTAACCAACTGGTTATAACTCACATTCAGCCTCCTCAGCTTCTTTAAGTCACCAATCTCAGATGGCAATTCTGTAAGTTTGATCCCAATCAAAAGCAGCTGCTGAAGCTGTTTCAGCTTCTGTATACTGGTAGGTAAACCAACCAACTGGTTGATACTCACATCCAGCACCCTCAGCTCCTTTAAGTCACCAATCTCAGAGGGAAGTTCTGTAAGTTTGTTACCAGACAAGTACAGCTCCTCAAGCCGGTTCAGCTTCTGTATACTGGTAGGTAAACTAACCAACTGGTTGTTACTCACATTCAGACTCCACAGCTCCTTTAAGTCACCAATCTCAGATGGCAGTTCTGTAAGTTTGTTACCAGACAAGTGCAGCTCCTCAAGCTGGTTCAGCTTCTGTATACTGGTAGGTAAACTAACCAACTGGTTGTCACTCACATCCAGCCACCTCAGCTCCTTTAAGTCACCAATCTCAGATGGCAGTTCTGTAAGTTTGTTACCAGACAAGTGCTGCCCTTGAAGCTGGTTCAGCTTCTGTATACTAGTAGGTAAACTAACCAACTGGTTGTAACTCACATGCAGGCTCCTCAGCTCCTTTAAGTCACCAATCTCAGAAGGAAGTTCTGTAAGTTTGTTATCTCTCAAGTTCAGCTCCTCAAGCTGGTTCAGCTTTTGTATACTGGTAGGTAAACTAACCAACTGGTTGTTTGTCACATCCAGACTCCTCAGCTCCTTTAAGTCACCAATCTCAGAAGGCAGTTCTGTAAGTTTGTTAGCAGACAAGTGCAGCTCCTCAAGCCGGTTCAGCTTCTTTATACTGGTAGGTAAACTAACCAACTGGTTGAAACTCACATCCAGACTCCTCAGCTTCTTCAAGTCACCAATCTCAGAAGGCAGTTCTGTGAGTCTGTTTCTATGCAAGTGGAGTCTGACAAGATTTTTCAGCTTGTTAATACATGTTGGTAATTCAGTCAGGTTATTGTCATCCAGCCTAAGTTCCTCCACTTCAGTCAGTTCAGTGACTGCATCAGGTAACCTGGAGAGTCCTTTTCCACTTAGATCCAAACTTACTACTCCACCTCTAACTTCAACATAGGCTTTTAATTTTGCACTGGAATAATCCTCCATGTTTCAAATTATTAAATAAAAGGATCCTTGTCCTTTCTTTGTAATCTAAAATGAAAATAATAAAAATAGTAATTAGCAAATAAACGTTATCATTGATCACCCCTGACAGCGAATCTTAGCTGAACTTTAAAGAACAGAAAGGAAAAGAAATCTTACGGTTCAGAAAGTGTATATGCATGTAAATTTAACGTCTTTGCAAAACAACATTGTTCATCATTATAAAATATTTCTCTGTTTCTGATTGGCTCAAGTCCGCTGGCCAACTCTTCACAGCCACCTGGCATTGACCAAGGGCCTATCTGCACTAGTGAAAAAGCTGTCTTAGACAAATTTTCTGTCATCACCAATGCTTTACAAATGCAGATGGTTTATCACGAATTTACAAATTTGGCCCCAGACCGCCAGTCACCGGATAATCTTCAAAGTCTTCAAAGGCAACAAAATCACCCAAAAAAATGAAAACATGACTTTTTCTTCTTGATCATTTGTTGTAAAGCCATTATTCTTTCCATTAAGTTGACAGATGCGTCGGCCTGTTCCACATCTACCTCTACATTTACTAAGTTGATAAAAACTTGTAATTCAATCAATTCAATTCAATTTTATTATTCAATTCGATTCAATTTTCAATTCAATTTTTCAGTTCAATTCAATTCAATTTTATTATTTATACTTTATAAAATATTAACATTATATATACTATTAAAGGTAAAAATACACTATTAATAAAGTAGAAGAAGAAGGAAAAAAAAAAAAAGAAAATTAATGGCTTGGGTAGAAGTGTACGGTGATCAGAGGAGCTTAGCTTTCGAGCTAACCACTGCTATATTATGATTGGAAATACATAATAAACGTGCGCTTGGTACCGTGGCAACTATGGACGATTATGCCAGCAGTCAGCTTATGTCAGACAGTCATATTACAATTGTCACCTTTGAGAGTTAACTAGAATTCGCTTATATTCTTTCCTGAACTTGTGGTAGCTAAGTGTTTTTATCTTAGTAGGAATCTCTTCCCAAAAATGGGAAACTTTTCTGCATGCAACAAAGGAAATAGGAGATGTGTGCACCCAGGTAACATTGAAGTGGCCATGGTGGGTAACACAACTGCATAACAACTATCTATAATTCATCTTTTAGGCATTTCCCAGTTATTAAGAAATAAACATTTTACTGAAAGCTTTCTGATTATAAGGTTATATCATATAATTTTCTGTTAATATCTCCGTTCCTTCGCGATGCATGTTAAACGCAGTAACTAAATTATAAAAGCAAATAATGACAAGTTGGCATTAATGGGGAAGCACTGCCTTGCACTAGGTTAGCCTGTGCGACTTCCGGCGATGGGGTGACCAAAGAAGCTCACTTATCTCCCCAGCACTACGAGCTGAATGCAATACAGCACGTGCTGGATCGGACAAGAGTATCGGTTTGCAGGCGATGTTAAACGGCAACGCGGCCAACAAGCTTGGGGGAAGTCGCTGCGCAGCCTTAACCGCACCGCGCAGGAGTGTCCCTAGTTTATTTGATGGCATAGCACAAAACAAAGCCCAAACCTCATCTCCAAAGGGAGGGAGGGAGAGAAAATTTTTACAAGAATAATATACTGAGCGCTAACCTTGCTGAATAACAGAACTCAAGTGAACTCTGAACACTTGTTCTAGGCTTTAATATCTAGACAAACGTCTGCTGGCATAGCCAGTAGGAAAGGTTGTACTACAAGACAGATCAGCGTTGCACGTGCGAACTCTTAGCCATTAATAGTGCATTGAAAAAGTTGGCCAATGCTGTGGATCGTACTAGCCTGCTAAAGACAACAAGGCCGTAAAGTTCTACGCTAGAATCAGGGGCGGATCTAGGGGGAGGGTGCAGGGGGTGCCCCCCCCCCTGAGATGACCTGCGGTTTTCTAATACAACTGGTATTCTGCAAAAAAAACCATGTGGTTTATTGGTGTTGAAGTAGAGCAAGAGACGAGTGCACCCCCTCCTAAAAAAAATCCTGGATCCGCCCCTGAGAATACAATGTATCTTAGAGCTTGCTGACCTTGGCACAACTGTTTTATTGAAAAAGAACCGCCATGAAAGAGTTACTGATAACTAGAGTCACATTCCATTAACTACATTTTACTGGCGTGACAGTAAAATTGCTTATCCTTTCTTAAAATGTTTGTTATTAATCTACCCACCAAGATCTGTGATAGGTAATTTACCTGAATTAGCTACATTTAATACTTTTGTTTTAAAAATAAACCTTTTATATTTATCTACTTAAAGCCTCCTTTACATTTTACAAGTTTCCATTTTTCTTTTTTTAAAAGGCATTCCGTTTATTGGGTAACATCTATACCTGCAAGAGGTATAAATACAGCTAAGTTAACATCAACTTGCAAGAGGTTATATTAAAATATCTCAACTTCAACTTCAATTTTATTCATTCAATCTCAATTTACAATTTCACGATAGCTTCCACCTGCGTATAGGAGAGCCTAATCAAGGCGGGGGAAGAGAGACACAAATTTAAAGAAAGGAAAGGAAAAAAGAAATGTTTTACAAACAGTACCAGCTGTGGCAAAACAAAAACTATAGTATGTATTAAGCTAATTTAACTACAATATGATTTACACAGAGAATATAAGTTTAGTTATGTTCCTGAGCTAGTTAAATTTAAGTTGATGCATGATTTCAGTGATTTCAAGATAGTAATCAGATTTAGATAAAATTTCAAAGAGCTCATTGCTTATCTTTTTCCAAAAGTAGATTAACTTTTTGGCAAATCAAACACAACATCTTTCATCCTCGGAGACCCAGGGGCAGTCAGTCGGCTCGGGAGAAAAGGCGGGACGAAAGTTTTCAAGTAAGGACGGAAGAGCCCCTGGGTACCGACTCTCACCGAACTATTTCCAAAAATTCAAGCGGATACCGGCTCTTGATTGGGCACAAAAAATGCTTTGTATTATTGTGCCCAATTGGCGAACACATCCTCTGAGATCCTTTCGTGTGTTCGTACACGAAGGCCGTTGTCTCGATCACGGCTTGTCTGTCGGGAAACTTTCAGTTTGATATAAAATCCCCATCTGATTTCAAAATACCGTCTGTCTGAAAACTAAAGCTTCAGCTTACAACAGTTATTCACGCTTGCATCGGCCACGTCTTGCGTAAATATATTTATAGAGAGTTTTAAAAGGATAGCACGACGGCTGACAGCCACGAAAACGTCATATTTTTTCAGTCTATATCGTGATTATTCCAACTCGCTTACTTTGTCACAAATGCAAGCGAACTCTTTTGGAGCTGAATTTTATCAACCATATCCAAGTTCATGAAGAGAATGAATTTTGTCATTGCTTGTTTAAGTCCTTCACAAAACGTGAAATTAGTCATTTCCACGGGTAGTCGTGCAGTTGACGGCAACGAAATTGTACAAAAAGGCGTGATGCACGTGCAAAGTTGTTGTTCTGCCTTGTTTCTCGTCGCTGCCGCATCTTAAACTTCCTATTATTTACGATACATTGTGATCCGTCAAAAACAGAATATTGTCGGGGCAAATTCAATTGCTCCTGCTGATAGCATCCCAAACGTTCTTTCGACTCATCGGTAGTTCCTTCGTTTCTGGTTGGGAAAGTAGAAAATAAAAGTTTCCCTTGTACGCACAAGCTTGGTGAACGAACCGGGCAAGTGTGGCGAGACAATAGCTGTCGTGTACGAACTCACGAAAAGAACTCAGGAGAAACTGTTCGCCGATTGGGCACAATAATACAAAGCACTTTTTGTGCCCAATCAGGAGCCGGTATCCGCTTGAATTTTTGGAAATAGTTTGGTGAGAGTTGGTACCCAGGGGCTCTTTCGCCCGAACTTGAAAACTTTCGTCCCACCTTTTCTCCCGAGCCGACTGACTGCCCCTGGGTTTCCGAGGATGAACATCTTTGAATTATCTTGTAAATTAAAAAGAATAAATACATCTGTCCCTTCCTTGAGCTTCCAAGGTTTTATATGATTCACTATTTTTACTTTTATTTCTGCCTCAAATCATTTATTTCTGGTTGCCAGTGGGACAGGAATAATTTAAACGTGAAAGCTTCCTAGAGAGTTACCTTTTCTACAGAAATCTTGAAACCTCAAATGAAGAAATTTTGTATTTGCTGTCAATTCTACAAATTATTCATTTCACTTTTTTGGAAATTATCCACACAGCCTTACAGTGTTACTTAACTGTAATCGGAGCCACTTCTGACAAAGTTGATTAGATTACAGGAAAATAACAATAAATTCCAAGAAGGTTGGATGAGGGCCAATCAGCAGCTCATCATAAAAAAACAATTTAAGTTACTCAAACACAGAATTTAATTTTGAAAGCAAAAAGTTTCACCAGACAATGTTTTCCTATTTAAAACTTTGCATTATTACCACACCCAGGAGACATATTTCTTTGACAAAAGCTGTTATTTTGTCATCTACCCGCAATTTCTTCACTACTATTGCCATGCATTGCAATAACATGCCAGGCTGCAAGTCAAAAATACAACTATCGTTTATGTTTTTTGTCTCCATTCACACACTGTAACAGACCTCTCAGGAAACACATGCTCTCTTCAGCAGGTTCAGGTGAGGAAAACCATTATAATATCTGATTTAAGAGATGCTTGACAAATAATTAGAGATTTTAAGTGATAATATTGCCTTTATTTATTTATTTAGTTTTGACTTTTGTGTATATAATAATCTCTTTTTATCTGACTGATTTTATAATTAGGTGCTTCCTTGGTTGGGAATACTCTGTAGATGATGAGAAAAAACATGCAGTGTATGATGGAGGAGGTGCTGCTTACGGGATGTCTGTAAAGATCTAGTATAATAGATTCCATGAAGAGAGTAGTGCGGTGCGGGAAGTGGAGGCTGTTAGATGGAGTGGATTCCCTGGAGCAAGAAGAGACCATACAG